ATGAGACAAAACACGCGGTTTCAAGCGTTTCAAAGAAAAACTGAAAACAAAAAGCGTCGGGACGTTAGATATTTCGGTGTCACCAAGCAGAGGTAAGAATCACGTACTCTAGCGGGGTGTTATGAATCTGGCACTTTCGATTGTCTTGCGGCATAATTTATTCTGAACTACAGACAAAGGATATCTCAGCAAAGGCGCCATAAGTAGTGCGAGGCCCAGTCAGGTCAGTTTGTACTACCCGAAATGAGGACGCCACAGTTTGTTCAAAGCTTCAGCGCAAGAGGTCTTCCTCGGGCTAAAAGTAAGCGAATTCTGTTTTGCATCATTTTTTTTTTAACATCAGATTTGAGGCGGTCAGGAAATAGAAATACCTTGAGGGCATATCCGATTCACAAAAAGCACTCTTGGCGCTTAACCAAAAACGGCCTCGCGTACGATATGTCAGGATGGCGTCTGCGCGACCCGTCTCATTCTTCACAGATATTAGCTGGACCAAAATGGTATCGGCACAATATTTTCGATTTGAGGCCAATATCGGCGCAATATTGCGTGCTGCCTGGGCTGCATATTTCCACGTCTTCGTTGAACTTTTGCCAGCGGAAACGTTTTTTTTTTTTTTTTTTTTTTTTTTTTTAAATTGACGTTGAACTGATAAAACTGGTGTACGCGCGACATGTAATTTTCGGCTAGTGTCGGAGGGAGAGTTCGATCGGAATTACAAAAACTATTCGGTAGCACTTTGTAATCTTACGCGACCTCGTGTGGCGATTAATTATACCCGACGTTTGTACCGCCGTACACCAACAACAGTTTCACCAAAGCAATGAACATGAACGGTTATGAAATCACGGGTGTATTCGACTGTATCGCCATTATGCCTCTTTCACACCGCGTGAACGAAGGGCGTCAAATTCGTCCATACACCCTTTTTACACGCTTTCAGACACCATCGCTACAAGCGGGGGCGTAAAAAATGCATGTAACAAGTGTAAATCATCAGAACACCTTTCTACACCCACCGTTATTCAGAGAGAGTGTAAAAAGGATTTAACAGGGGTATTTTGTTCTAACTTAAACCATTTTACACCCTTTTTACACGATAATATGTGTTACAATATTTAGCATGCGAAGTCAATTAAATATTCGCGATGATAGGGATAGCGGTGCAGTGTTGACTAAACAAACGGTAACGGCATATAGGCAGTCCAATAATATTACATCAAACAAAAATAGTTTACGTCTATGTGCAGTACGACGTGGTATCTGCCTGTCGGGGTGGAATACTTCTACCTGACTATGCGAAGTGGTTAACCTTGCTGGGTGTGAGCGTGCGTACGTGCTCGAGTTCCTCTGTTTGGCTGTCATACTCAGTTTCACCTTGCCATAGAGGGCAGCTGACGTGTTATCTAAATTATCCACCCCAGCCAATCCAGCGCTCTGGTTGTATCTCACTCAGAGTGTCGCTGCGTCTCTTCCGAAGGTCACATGACGCTCCCACAACACGACATTGGCTTCAATTATTTGTATCCTCTGCGGTGTATCATAAGTTCAAAGGTGTAAAAGCAGTGCTACCTAAATAAAAACAAACCGGCTGGACATAAAAATAAAAATAAAAATTACAGAAAAATTTATTGGTGGATTATTAGAAAATGCGCTTGCATAACCCTTGGAAACGCCGCACACTGCACCCTTTGGGAAACGCTAACCTGACCCCTTCACTTTTCTCTTTTGGCTTTCTCTTTTGCTTCCTCTATTTTTCGCTCCATCGTTTTGGCCTCGTTACGGGGTCAGTGTTAGGGTTTCCCAAAATGGGACGTGTGTGGCGTTTCCCGAGAGTTATGCTAACGGATTCCCTAAAAATCCACCAATGGATATTCGTGTGGTTTTTTTTTTGCCCCTCTTGTTTCTACTCTGCCTGTCCGGGTACGTCGACGCCCTTGGATAAGGTCATTCATATCACTCGTGGAAATCCACACCACTCGTGGAAGGAACCGCACTCGTAAAACTTGTGGAGTGAACCGCATCCATTGCTTTGACTACGCACGCACATCAGAGCCCACGCACCTCTACTACGGAAACCCAGAGCGGAGAACAAGCGGCGACGGCAGAGCGGCAGCTGTGCACGCCCACAAAGCCGCAGTGCTGAATGAGATGTCGTCATCGGCGAAGGGCAACGCCTGGCAGAGATTAAACACGACGATTATGTCAACGTTCGGCTCAAACTTGACTCGAAGCCGAGAGCTGACTCAGCACTCGTTACAATCTTTGTCCAGCGTTGTATAATTCGGGAAGTGCACAGGTGGTAACGTTTTAGAGGGACACTGACACTCCCCAAAAAATTGTTTTCATTTTTTGCCAGGCGCTTCATTATGGTGTCGGAGGACTACCCAATTAATATTTTGCAACAGAGTAGCGTATTTTTTTAATAAAGCCAAAAGACGCAACTGCTCGAAACCGAAACCAAAACCCGACGGAGGTCGGAGAAGTGGAGAGAAGAGAGTGAGTGGCGGAAGTCACGTGGCTACACCCAACCGTGCCGCTTTTTTTTTTTTTCTCCTCTCCGTAGCAGACGACACGACATGCGGCGTACGCGAACTGTTCGCCGTGGCGTGCGCTTCTTTTGCAGTTATGTTTGTTCCGCTCGTTGTTCTGTACTCCAAGATGAGTTGTTTTGTACAATGAGGAGTTGGAGATGAGTAGTGAGTGCCCGTGGTGAATTTTGATTGGCTCCGAAAAGAATACACCCAAGATGTTGCGTGAAGAGCTGGCTCACATGTCCCGCGTCCGAAACAGAAGTGGCATTGTGCGACAGAGTTTCCGAAAGATCAACGGGATCGGGACCAATGGCTGGCTGCAATTAATGTAGAACATATACGGGCACCTCGGAAAGCGGACACAACCTGATTTATATGCTCCTTGTATCTTGTGGAAAGTGATGACATTGAGTTCGCAGGTGTCAAAAAGGAAATCCCATACTATTTAATTCAGCGAAGTGTCGTCCACAACATATTTTTACTATTTTTTTTTGCTTGTTTCTTCAATGACAATTGTAAAAAAAAAATATTTAACCATAAAAAAATGTTAAAAAAAAGGTCCTACGAGGGATGGAACCCGGTCCTACCGCGTGCGAAGCGGACGTCGTTCCCACTGAGCTAGTGGAGCACTTCTCCAATGGTGGATCTCTCTCCTTACTAATATTTCAGCCGGTAAACTGTAAGTTGGAAAGTTTGCTGTCGATTTCCCTTTAGCAAAAGCACTACCGGGTCGAACTCGGGAAGCACCATGCATTGGCGACATTCGCACCTAGAAAAGAAATCGTACGCGTGCATATTCTTCTCGAAGTAGACACGTCGTGCTTGAAGTTTGCGCGAGCGATGTCTTCAGCCACGAGAAGGGAGCGACGTCTCGGCGACGTCTTCGTGCAAATCGGCTTGGTGGTCGGGCGTGTCGTACGGGATGAATACCAATTCTTTTGATCAGTCCCAAAAATCTCTTTTAAAAGTAGACAGAACTCGCCGGTACCGCGAACGACAGTTCTGAAATAGAGGTCCCACGCCCGTCGTCCGCTGCCATCGCCGTTCCCGGGAGTCCCACGATACGCGAAACGGCGAACACGCAGAATGCTTCCGGTAGTCTGTGGAACTTTTTTTTTTCAATCAACGTATTTCCAGCTTTTTAGAAGCCACAAAAAATGGGTTTCATATTTTTTTCTATTTTCAATATTGAGTGTGTGCCTTCAGTGACCCACGACTTTGATTAAATTTGGTGGTCGCATCGATACCTTAGAAAACGGCCCGTGACCGCGGAAAAGAGAGTGAGCGAGACTCGAACCGGCCAGTTCTTGATCGGCGGTTTTCGGGCGGAAAGAAACCGAATTTCGAGCCGCAAATTCTGTTCTGGGTAGTTGAGCTCTCACATGTCACGTACAACTAAAAACCTCGGCCAGCATAAATACCCTGTCAGTGTCCCTTTAAGGTAGAGTAAGGAACGGGTTTGAAGCGGTTCTCGCTTGGTAAAGCAGGTCGCCGAACCGATATTTCGAATGCGTCACTGAACTGGAGCCGAACCGCAACAAAATGTGAAGCTACTGAATGCGAACCAGAATCGAACAGTAATAATAACCGGTTGGACAGCCTGCATATATTATGTAACTTAGAAGTCACATGCATTAGTAGTGTTTTATTGGGCGCACAACTGAAGAACAAATGTTTTGATATTCTTCTAAAGCATAAGTTTGGCGAATGCCGTGTTTGGGAAAACATGTAAATGTAATCATATTTTCTCTACAGCGGGACTTTAGTAAATATTTATAGCTCCTCCGAAGATGTCGGGTCTTCGATATGTGGGGATTGTTTGTATTTATAACACGACACATTGAAAGGCATTGGGTGTTTTAAAACACAAGGCAACTCAAGATGCGGCTTGTTTGAGATAATGAAGATACATCGCATGGTCCAAATGCTTCCTTCTTTCAACTTGTGACTGCATTTTACGGAATAAAACACAAACTACCTCCATAAATGTTCGCGCTGCATGTTTTTTTTTTCTCTAATAAGTATTCAAGCATTTAAAATAACTAAACAATTTACGCTTCAATTGCCATGATATAACTTTTATTTTATATCGTAATCCAGCGAATTGGTAATAAGCATCACATCATGGAAATCATTCTTTATACAGCATGTTCGCGAAGCCATTCCCTTTAATCAAGAACTAGAAATATGAAGCCACGGGAGGTAATACCTTGAGAAGCAGTTTAGCGCGCTAAACAAATGTTTCTGAGCATAAACTACTAATTAGGGATACACAAGAGCTTAAGCAACAAAAATATAAAAATATAGACATGTACAAATATCTCGTCATATGAGATTTGAAAACTTCCTTTAACACTAGGTCCGGCGTATTTCCAACAAAACGGCGATACTTACAACAAGACTGTTGTGAGATTTTATCGAAAATAGTAGAACATAATTTAAACGTAAATTGTATACTTTTTTCAGATGATGGAATACAAGAACACAAGCTTCTCTACTCTGACTATGATAGCTGTTCAATAATAAGAATAACAAGAAAAACTGAAGGTAAGCTCGTGCTTGTTGCCGGCCTGAAAAGCGTTATAAACTCGATATAGAGTCTATAAGGTATTGAGTTGTTCAGTTTGTTTAGAATATGCAGTCAACGATTTCCCTATACTGAAAGTTATTGTGTGCGCAACGACGTAAATGACCAGGTACAGCGAAAATCCGAGACACATCAAAATAAAGAAAATAAATCGGGCTCGAATATAAACATTAAATATATCTCTTAATGTAAAATGATGGATACAATTTTGTCCTTCTAGCTTGTCTAAGACATTCAACTTCCTGGTCGAAAATTTCAGCAAGGGCTTCGTCATAAACAGGATCACGCTTCCCGTCGACGTTCCCTCTTAGGGCACACTGGAATCGCTAACGACTATGGAGCAAGTGGGGCACGCTAGCGCCGTTTATGAGATGACACTTGAACTGCATTTCACAAGAAAAAAGTTGTTGCAGTATTTCCGAATTCAAATGTACTTTCTAGTCAAAAATTTCAGAAGGGGATTCGTCATAAACAGCATCACGCTGCCCGTCTACGTTCGTGCTTCGGCCGCACTGTGTCCCCATTTTGCATATTTATCATCACTTCCGTGTTTCATTCTGTCTTTAAAACCATAAACTATGGTCACAAAGGTTTTAAAAGATGGTTCTTAACTTTGTAAAAAAATATTCGTGCCAATAAGAAAGAGTGACGCGTGGAAGTCTAATTATCATTTATTCTGATTAAAGTCTAAATCACTCCCACTAATATTATAAAGAACGCTATAGACGTGTCATAGGGGACAGGACACCAACTTTCTGCGAGTAAAAATAAATAAAATTTTATACACTTCTGAGGGACACAAAAGTAATCCCACTTAAACGCAAGAGTGCATGAAGAGTAGCATTCAATTTCTTGTACAAAAATACAGTCTCGCTTTAATATTGTTTCGTAAAAGGGTACAAGATCAAGCAAATTAAGTAGGTGTTCATAATGAAAGTGAATGCGCCTTCAAACCCGTCTGTCATAGCTGTACATACGAGTCGACGCGGCACTTTTTCTAAAATACATGATTCTGTCATTCCAGTGGTGTTCCATGCAACTGATCAAGACTCTAGTTTGGACAAAATAAGGGCGCGAAATAGAATTATGGTATCTTGAGTACAGCAATTGCCGTCATTCGGGAAATAACGCCTAGCACCTAATGATGGTCATTCACAATCTTCGAAACGTGCTCAGTAAACGAAAGCCGAGAATGAAACAACACTGCCAAGTCACGAATAGTATCCGACCTCGCTATAGTTGAACCTAACATGTTATACGGGTATTCAATTCAGCTTCTCTGACGGGTATGGGAAACAATATTGGTCTTATTGGCTTCAAGTACAAAATTATTTTTGAAGCACCAATTTAGAACTGCCTGAACATCGTCTTGCGTCATCTGGCAGTTAATAGTTCCATGAACTTCACGATAAATGTTTACAACATCTGCAACTTGCTGCACAAAAATGTTGAATAACAGCCACCCAAGATAAGACGCCCGAGGCACTCCAGTATTTGAAACGTACGAGGTAGAAAAATACCCATCATACAGCGCTCTTTTGGTCTTCCACCAAGATAACTTGGCAAACAACTGCAAAACAAGCTAGTCATGCCCAATGCTGACAATTTGGCAAGTGACAACCTATGATCGAAAGCTTTAGTGCAATATAAATAAATAGTGTCGGCTTAAAGCAAGTAGGCAGGCGAGCTGGTTAAGGATATACCTGGAGTGAGGGGACAAAAAGGACGGTCAGATACGATACTCCAAACGCAGCCAAAGATTTATTTCCCAAACCACATACTTAAATAGGCCCACAAACCCTTAAGCGCGATCCAAACCAATGCGTTTTGGCACGCGTGTGTGTCGTGCACTTCCCGAAAATTGCGCATTTTGTGTCTCCGCGCTGATTCTTTGCGCCTTCCGGGAGCGCATAAGAAATTTGGAGGATTTCAACTTTTTCTGAACGCGCACAAAAACGCGCTGTGACGTAGTATAGGGTGCTCCTCTCCCATATCCTCTCCGGGCCAATCGGTGGAGGGCACCAGTTCGGGCTCCGCGTTTTTTGGCCATCTGGATCAGGCGCTCTCCGCTCGCAAGAAAGCGCACCGTCCTAACCAACGCGCATGCTTGTGACTCAGAAAGCGCTTTGGAAACAGCAAAAACGTCAAGAAATGCGCAATTTCCAGGAAGCGCATGACCTACGCGCGCACAAAAACGCGTTGGTTTGGATCGCAATTTAGTAGGCACACGCTGCCTGAGGTCACATGACCGTGGCAGATAATAACTAAAGCACAAAATACCGCGGCGACTGGGAAGAGGACACTAGTCTGTGGGGAAGAAAAAATCCCCGGAAGACTCAAACCACTCGCTAAAGGCAAGCAAACAACACTAAGCAACCAACAAGATAAGCACTTCAACCACACCCCTTCCGCCCGGCAGGCGGCCGACCTAAGAACACTTAGTCCAAAGAACCTAAAAAAACTTGAGTGCTAAGAGACGTTTTAACTGGGTTGGTAGGTGCAACGGACATATTGCTGAAACAACCACTATTCCAGTAAATCATCGACGACTCCTTTACAAGACGTTTATAAGCGTCTCTTTGCTTACACATAATCGCAGTGTCTTGCCACACAACACTACATTCAACGCACTGGGACATGTGTTTGGCCCAATTGGAAGCCTCTTTGCTGTGTTTAACATCTCTGTTGTGTTCACACAGTCGGTCTTTAATGAACCTAGCAGATTCGCCAACATAACAAGAACGACATTTTACAGGAATTTTGTAAAATACACCAAGATCACAACTCACTGAAGGTTCCCTATGATCCTTACTACAGCCGCTCACTCCTCTCCGCCAAAAAGGAGTTAATTCCAGTTTAGGACGAACCCTAGTTCGTCCTAAACTGGAATATGCAGCTTCCATCTGGAGCCCCGGTATCACCCTTGCATCAGCTGTCGAATCTATTCAGAATCGTTCTGCCCGTTTCATACTCTCGAACTATCATCGTACAGCCAGCGTAACTTCCATGAAATCGTCCCTCTCCTTGCCTGATCTCTATTTCCGAAGAAAAATATCTCGTCTATGTTTATTTCACAAGATTTATTACTCTAACCCCGCTCTCTGTCAAGCATTGTTTTTAGAACCATCGTACATATCATCACGTGTAGACCATGACCTAAAGGTAGAGATTCCCCATTGCAGCACATTCACTTTTAATGCTTCTTTTCTACCCCAAACCTTCATCGATTGGAATCGCCTTCCCGCACATATAGTCTCAATAACTAACACTGTTGATTTTAAAAATGTCATTACCAACTTTTTAACAGGTGATGCGTAGCGCGTGTTTTTTTTTCTGTGTGTTTGTGTTTTTGTGTATTTTTTGTATTTTTTGCCTCGTTCAACTATGTTACTTTTATGTGTTGACCGCCCACTCCCCTCTGTAATGCCTTCGGGCCCTGAGGGAATAATAAGTGAAATGAAATGAAATCTGTTCAGACAAAAATCGGGTTTAAAAATTACAGTAAACCCGAACTTCCCTTGCTAGGCAAACAGGTTTGAGACACGTGATGGAAATACGGAAGAGAGACAACCTTTTTCTTTTCAATTCGTCACCTGTTTTGACATCACTGCGCTTTAGCAACCGAAGTGCAATAGAATATATAAAATCACTGCCATAACCAGCCGAGGACAGTCTACCGTAGTTGTTTTCCCCACCCAGGATATAAAAATTACAAGTTTTCCAGGCTACTCCATAGATGGCGCCAGCGCCAGTACGAACACTACCAGGTCAACTTTTTGTTTAATTAAAAGATAGACGTACTTTAGCGAAAAGTTAATTTTTTGACGACAGGGCGACAGCAAAAATTGGGTTAACGAAACAGATCTGGGCAACGTTTCGGCCGTCACGTAGCATATCAGCAGAACCCCCCCCCCCCCCCCCCCTCCCCTTCCCCGCCAGCCAGGATCCGGGCATTTCGGTTTAGAATGCTTCGGTGTAGAGCGTTCCGGTACAGCCTCTTCGGTGCACGGGCTTTTAAGTGCGCGGACTTTTCGGTTCAGACAGTTCGGTGCACGAACTTTTCGGTGCGCGTACTTTTCGGTGTAGGACAATTCAGTGTTACATTCCTAGGACGATTCTGTCAGTATTGAAAAAAGAGCCGATTAGTACCTACCAGGAGATTCAAGGAGACGGCAGGCTCTTTAAATCGACCGGAAAATTCGGTTTCCTAACCTATCGCGCTATGACTTTGTGCAGGGTTGACCACAGATGGTGCTTTTTTTTTTTTTTTTTGTAAAATTTGCAAAGAGCGAACTTACCTGAGGAAAAAGTAAAGAAAGAAAAAGGCTTAGCTCCCATGGAAACGCAGCGACGCCACCGGTCTTCAAACTACACGGTGCCGTTTTGCACAGAGACAAGAGGTGGCGCAACGAACGCCGCCAACGAACGAGCGTACGGCGCCGAGAGCCAGCGTCTTTAGCAGATAATCTTTTCGACTCAAAAGCGGAGCGCGTTCCGCGGGTGGCGAAAGTAGCAGGAACAAAAACAGGCGCGGTAACAACAAGTAACTGCAGTTCCTTGTCTGCTAAATACGCCGCCTCTCGGCGTCGTCTGCTCGTTCGTTGGCAGCAGTTGGCGTCGCGACCGCTTGCGTCATCTCTTGTCTCCCGTGCGAAACGGCGCCGTGTTGTTTGCAGACCGGTGGCATCGCTGCGTTTCCATAGGAGCTAAGCCTTTTTCTTTCTTTACTTTTTCCTCAGGTATTCGCGACTCCAGCAAAACGGACGCCGCCAAGCGGGAAAACGAGGAACCAGTCGGTGCAGGTCGCTCCGCGCCCCGCCGCGTCTCTGATGGCTTTTTGCGGACACGTGCTATCGGCGCGGAGGCGAGCAATGTAATTTGACGAAGGTCCGAAAATTTCTTAAGTTTGCCTGAGTGTTCATTAGTGTGGTGAAGCCTCAGTGGATTGTTTCTTTTTATCACGTGTTTGAAAGCCCGTTTACTCCACAACACACGGTCGCGTGCTTTCACTTTTTTGGACGAGGAGGAATCACGGAAAAAAACGTTTTGATTTCTCGTCTGTCTCTAATCACATTCAAAGTGACGACTGCTTGGTAACTGATAAGTGGTTTCTTTGTAAGGATGTAGAACAGTGGACTGACGTCGACAGACGAAGTGTTTCACTGGAGGGAACACCAATGTTGCAGTCAAGTGAATGGGAAGGTTCGATAGCTGCTTTCCTTGAGTTTGGGTGTGCTCGATTAGCTTCAAGTTAATTTGAGCCACTAACGCCGGCCGGTGCGTTGGCTATTCATCTTGGCGGCTTTTCGCCGAAAAAGACCACATTGAAGGAGTTGGGCTAATTTCGCAATTACTTGATTCAGAAAACCTGGTCGCTGCATATGATTAATGAGGGAAATTATCTGCTTTCAAAAGGTGGGGGACGCGTCTCGCAAAATTAGAAGCTGTCACGTCATTAGGATCTATCGCGCCTCCAATATTTATATTATAACCCCTGTCGAAGCCAGCAGCAATATACGTCTACATTGCTCAGGTTGATCGGCCACAAAAAGTACTCATTTTATCCTTTCAGGATTTGAAGTCAAGTTCAATGCAGAGAGGTCTGAGTGAATCTCCGATGAAGACTCTCCTCAGTTTGTCCGCATTCGTCTCCGTTCTACCGGCTAGAACCATTTGGCTAAGCTTAAGTGTCTCTCTGTCTGTCAAATATACTTTTATTCAGCAGTTCACCTAATAGTTAGTCAACTACGTTCATATTTCAACCCGAAGAATATATTAATATCCCTTTAGTGGGACATAGTACGTAATATAATACATAATCCGCATATTCGTCAAAATGACTTCTCCATTGCTACTAAAACCTGAATTGAAATACGTGTATCAGCTACTTAGTGAAGCGCCAGCGAGTTGACATGCTCCTTGGTTCAAGAAGCGCTTGCTTAATTTTCGTAATTTTCCTGCAGCCTGTGTTCGTGACTGAGCACACGACTGGAGTTGTTTCTTGAAACGCGGACAGGCACAAAACCTCAATTTCGCGGACAGATAAGTCGCATGGTCGAGGCATGCGAGTTAGCTTAAAATTACTCTCGGTGGAACAATTTTGTAGCCCTCGCCACTTTCCTTAGATGATCAAAACTAATTAGAGTCTATTACCGTTTCTCCGGAGCCCATAGTTTCGGTTTTGATCGAAGTCTACGAAACGAAAGTTTGACAGGAAAAGAACGAAAAACACCGCCAAAACAAAACTATGCTCGGCAAGTTTATGCGCACCGGCTACACTTAACTGTCTCAGTTCAAATACCCATAAAATTGGGCATTCAACAAAAGTAAATTTGTTAACTTGAATGCGCCACCCATTCAGGCGGCCCGGCCGAGCCGACGCGACCTCGACTCAGCCGCCATGTTTGTTTGGTAGTGGCGCCCCCTATACGTCGCTGGAGTCGCGAATATTCGCTCTTTGCAAATTTTACAAAAAAAAAAAGCATTATCTGTGGGCGACGCTGCACAAAGTCGTAGCGCGATAGGTTAAGAAACCGAATTTTCCGGTCGCTTTAAAGAGCCTGCCGTCTCCTTGAATCACCCGGTAGAACTGTTAGAAGTAAGCGTTGTCTGATACAGTATTTCAGTTAGAGCTAACACTCTCCGAACCGGTGGATTTCAAACGGAGTCTAAAAGTTAATGCTAGATGTGTGCGAATAGTGAAATTTCAGCTCGAATGGAGTTAGAATTAACTAGTACCTAATATTGGTCAAAAAGCCAAACGTCAGATCGATCACAAATACCAGAACTTTTGTTTCGTAAAAAATCCGCCTACATAAAAAAAAGACGCGTGCGTGTTTGTTCCTCTGCAGTCTACGCAGAACAAAGATGCTAGCACGAATAAAACGGTTGTAATGACACCATTTAAAAGGCAACCTTATAAAAAGCTGAAGACGTTCATAAAAAAAACTAAAAAAACAGGAGTTATATGTGAATTCTAGCGTATTTTTTCTTGTGCATTTGAATATCAAAAGCATTTGATCCGAACATATCAACAGATGAGAGAAAGCCCGAAAACCCACCGCTGGGCGTGATATCATACCCAGAGGCTTCAACTGCCCTGCGCTTGCTGTTGCGGTTCGGAAAATCATAACCTGCGGCCTGCGGTGTTGGTGTATTGAAATATCCGAAAACGCAAATTCTACGAATTTGAAGATTGAATCAAATTATCGGGACAATCATTAGATGGTTAGACTTTGATATTCAAATAATCACCCAACCCTAGTTTATCCATAGCTTTTGCCATACAACAGTATTCTGAATGCATGGATATACAATATTGCCATTATTTATTGATAAAAAAAACAGTAAAACGTTTCTGTATCCTACATAACCTGTATGTTTTTGTTTTCTTATATGTATGCTACATCGAATGTATCACCAACGGTGGCATTCTTCTGTAAGACCACGGGATAATTAAGGGCGTCGTGAAAGTTAGTCAATAAATAGGTAAACGGTGGAAACTCGGATAGACTTTTAGCAATATAATGTATTTGACAATATTTTAGCTCCATTTCTAATTCATGTAAATATTCTTGTGCACAGAACTGCGGAATGTTATTCATAATAAAATTAATTTACTACAGAAAACTGTTTGCGTTTATTGCCAGTTTTTAGTTCTTGATATATATCTTTACATACCAAAGTTATACGTACTATCATGATTTTCCTTATTTCTTAAAAGACGAGTGCAAACGTTCCCATCAAATCTTGAAAAAATTTCAAAGGGACACTTTTCTTTTTTAGATTTGCACTTTCGGTATTTAGTCGGTAGGTTTCCTGATACAATATGCATTTCTGAAAAAGATAAAAACTAACATTGCAAGAAAAATGAGCAACTAACCTTCAAATAATGTTTTTAGGACTCTTCTGTGACCTGCTGCTGTTTAGAAATGCGGCAGACGCGGAGCCGCCAAGTCCTTGCAAAGAAAAGTTTGAGGAATATTGCAAAGGAGACAGGGTTGAAGTTTACACTTCTGATTGTGGGACCCAACAAGAAGAAGCTGCCTAAAGTTGCATGTGAGGATTACAGAGAAATCTGTGTTGCGATATCCTTGATATAAAATGGCATGCTAAAAATACTGATTCCTTTTCTAACACGTTCACTTTGTGTCAACAAACACACCACACAAACATGCATACAATCGAACTGACAGATCTGTTCTTTTTCGCAAATTATTGAGGGTGGAAAAGGACCACGGTCAAAGCAATGTGTATATAGGTGAGGACTCACAACACGGCGAAAGCTGCGACGCGATCGACCAGATAAAGTCCTATTGGTGCACGCCCGAGTGTCCTCAGCCGACAGCGTCTCCGCCGTCCAACCAGTGCACCCCCCCCCCCCCCCAAAAAAAAAAAAAAGAAAGAAAAAGAAGTGTTCCGTTCGCAAGGCGTTGGGCTCGCGTTCTTTCCGTTCTGTTTGTTTCGGAGCGTCTGCTCGGACCTTCATGGACGCTGGCTTGAACACCGCGCGGGGGATCTCTCGGCTTCAACGCCTTTATACAGATGTTATCGCCGCCGTTGAGTCACGAAACTAGGGTCAATGAAAAAACAGTGTCTAAGAAAAACGCGTAGTGCAATTTCCAAGTTCTAAATGACATGAGGGAGCCAGAAACGACTTTAAAAACGAACATGATTCTAATAGAAAAGCGTGGGAAACCGGGCCAGCGACCGGCTGTTCACCGTTAAAGCCCGCTGTATAGGTGGTCGCAATTTTCGCGCGCCCCAGTGACGGTGTTTTGTTTTAGTTTATCGGTATGTGTCGCTGATGCGCTGCCATTCGTTTTGTTTGAGCGCTTGAACGTGCCTTGCCTTGTTATTTCTAACATTATCGAAGTTGTATATCCCCCACGGCGGTTCATTGCCCGCTGGTCTTGCCTCTCAACCGGGGACAGGCTACCAGACAAACAAATCTACGCGGGCACTCGGGGCCCCGAAGTGTCGCTGTCAACGGCTGGTGCGCCATTTTCTAATCTGGGCCGCGTCTTCTGCTCGAACGACTTTGTCGAAGACCTCAAAACAGATTCCAGTGGTTCGTGACACTGACTAGGGAATCACAGTGTGCAACTGAACACTAACATTTCAACACCCATGTTCGTGTTAAGCTCGTTTTCCGGAGCTCACACTTTTTCTAAACCATTTTTACATGATTTTTGAACATCCAACGCTGTGCGGTAAGGCCTACATCCTTTGAACATTCTTTTTACACCCTGCGGGTACCGAAATCGTGTTAGAAGGGTGGTCGGTAATACATCTATGATTTTGGCTGTCCAGTCAATTGGCGGATTTCGTGAAGTTCAAGTTAACACAATGGGCAGCTGAAATTCAACCCATGAGCCAACGCTCAAGTTGTTCTCTAGCCAGATGGATGCGTAGGTTGTGTGCAAGCTTCTCGGTTGTTTACGCGCAAGCGACCACGAAAATAGCATCGGTTACCCACACACTTCTGCTCAAAATGGTGAGACCACATCGGTTCTATATTATAACATACTCCGTCTTATCCTGAGATATACTGAAGCGAAGGCTAGACGCGCGAGGCGGTGCGGGCTCACAGCTTTGCCAGATATTCAAGGTGCACGAGCCTTCGCGCCGTGGGAGCATCTAGCGATTCTATGAGCTTGTGCTGTAGCCTTGGCTTCAGTGCATGCTAGGATGAGACGAAGTTTAGGAGTGAAGACGTTTTCTAAGGGCAGCCAAGTGAAGCAAAATTGGGGGGCGCAATCATCGGGGGGTGTAAGACACACGAAAATGTCAAGTCTGTAGGCAGCGGGCTCTCATGTTATTTTCATTGGAGGAGAAGGGGCGTGTGGAAAATTGGCTAACGGAATATGGTTAGCGACGGCGAAAATACGGACTAGAAAAGGTTCAGGACGTCTATGTGTAACCATTCCAGAAGTTCGAGTTCACCAATTGAAGAATAATTTGAAGACATCTTTAGACTGTCATTCTTCTGTCTCCCCACACCAGTATTGAAGGCTGCTAGGATATTGCTTCAGGCTAAGCTCTCTGTCTTTAAATCAATAAACACTCATACCTCAACGCGGTGAACCGAACCATGAGCGTTCGGTTTATCGCGTTAGTTTCACAGCCCACAAATAGTAATTCGACAGAACCAGGAAGTACAATTAACCGCCAGTACGCAGCAATGGCGGCACTTGCAAGCTAAGCACAGCTGTTATGACAAATAATAATTAAAAACTAACGTAGAAAACCATTTACTCTCCGGTAATCGTAATCTCCAGTGAAGCTTGTGAACGGGCACATACTTACCACAATTGCATTGAGAGCATATATACTCCGTTTCATACTTAGCATGCAACGCTGTCAAAGCTACTGGCGCGAGCGCGTGGCATTGCCTATGGTTTCGTTTGCGCGCGCACGCGTGCAAATGATCAACGAGATCAAGCCTCATGATCGCTCCAGTAGCTTTGACAGCGTAGTACGCTAAATGTGAAACAGAGTATAGTCTTTTCAGTACCAGTACGCTGCGTTGCTGAACCTGGGGACATTTTCCGAGGGACACCGGATGGCAATTTGGGTGCCATTAATAGGGAGCTTTCGTAGACCGCGTTTCTTCCTCCGCAACGAAGAGGCCGCTACTGCGCCTACGCACCGATGGCCTTGGCTGTAGAGTTCCAGGTATCGTAGCGGGTTGCGGAGAGCGGTGCGGGACGGCGAAAACGATCTACGAAAACTCCCTAATGCGTCCTGTAAAACAAAGTTGTTTTAACGGAATCAGCGAGGTCGTAGGGGTTTGATATGGCAATAGAGTTACGCCATTCCGAACAGCACGGTTGACACATATGCTTTGGCAACTGTAAACGTTAAAATGAACGACATGCTGCAGGTAGCTTTATATTAACGATTTTCTGAGCTTGAGGTACGGGAAAATTCGATAGGGGATTCGTGTCGAATCTTGGTCGCATGCTTACTGACACTGTTCTAGTGTGCTGCAGCTAGTACGAACGATTTCTCGAGTTTGAGGTGCGGCAGCATTCGACAGAGGATGCTAGTGCAGTCATGGACGTAAGCATTGAAAGCGTCACTTCAAATGTTCCCGCATGAACAATTTGATACTGATCTTGATTCTAGCTCATTAAAACCGCGGTGCCGAAAAACATGACACAAGAAAGTTTACAGCTGTATTGATTAAACGTATGAGAGTACTTACCGATCGCACCGCTGGACTTGCATTGCTGCGTAAACTACTTCGTTGCCTACTTTTATCCTCGCGTTTTTGGGAAGCTCAGCCACCTTGACCCAATGCAATCGATTATCGCAACCGTCACGTCGAGACAAGTACGCCACTTACTGTACACTGGTGTACAGCGATGTTCTCTTCGCTGCCGTCAGTTTCTTGAAGGCCACTAGCGGCGTGAAAACGAAGGGCAGCCAGCAGTTTCTGCTCCACCGTGAGCATAGGGGTCCCTCCGCGACGCCGCTGGAGCCTCTCGCAAAGCTCGTTGTAGAGCCAGCGTGCCACCCCTTTCGTCGGGCAGTATTCACTCACGAACATCACATCGAATGTTTCAAAGGCGTCGTCCCGGTGATCTCGGAAAACTCTCTCCGTTCGCGAACAACATAAAAGCTTGGCATAGGCGAGTGTCGCCACCTTTTCCGATGGAGAACGATGTCGGGATATGTATCGACCACTAATGGTGAATTCAGGTGGTCGCCTCTCTCCTCTGACCTTCATTCAACAGTCCGCGCCCTTCTCGACGTCAGAGCTACTCGAGAACCTATTCATCCGATTACAACTGCTGTCCTCAGAGCGCTCTGATATTCTCGGACCAGACACGGAAGTGTCTGGTCCGAGAATATCAGCTCTGAGGACAGCTTCTAAACATTCGTAGTAGCTTTTTTTTTTTTTTTTTACAGCAGACGATGGACGATTGAGAATGTGCGCTCGCAACGTAACGTCATAACGGCGCATCAGCATGCACAATAAAAAAATAGCAGCAGCATGAGAATCGATTTTTTTCAGAACGGAACGGCAGCCAATATTTTTAAATAGTTACCAACTCACCGAGTTTGTGACAGTGAACGCGATGCGATAGCGGTCAAGCGTAAGGCAAAACAACCAAAACGTTCACGCGCAGCTGACCAAGTAGGCAGAGTGCCCGTGGCGGAACGGTTATCGTGCGTGCTTCCCACGTGAAAAGTCGACGTTCGATGCCTGGCCACGGATACACTTTTTTGTTGTTTCTGTAACGTCGCGTTCTGGAAAGTTCGAGAACCCTGTTGCTTATTCGAGTTTGAAATGTTCTATGGACCGAACCTTCTACGCCGATTGTTCCACAAGCCAAGGCGTCTACATAAGCGGCTCCGTGTAGAAGCCGCAGTCAGTCACGCCCCAGCGTTCGATTCTGCTGTTTAGCCGCCATCGTCGCCTGCGACGCTAGCGGGTGTCTATTTTGTTTCGGGCACAAGGCAAACGTTTAGCTAAACGTTTAACGTTTAGTTTGCTTTAGTTTTCATTAAAAGTTTAGTTTGCTTTAGTTTTCATTCCCTCATCAATTGCCATTTCTGCTAATATCAAAGGGTTAATAAACCGCATTTTTTTTCACCGCGGAATATCGTAAAAACATTGCCCGGACATAGCACGTATCGCTATGTGGCACAAATCGAAGTTCATTATAGTCGGCTTTCCCTTTATTTTACAACCCAAACCATCGAACCCACTTTTACTAAACCTGAAAACTACTTGAAGCGCTGTTAAAACCCGGTAAAACAGCGGCAAGCTCTGTAAACCGTTTCTTCATCTGTTAGGCTCAGCGGGTCCACCGCCCGTGAGGTTAACGATCTCCTAAAAGCACTGGGAATACTTCCCATGCGAGTTTTCCTGTCACGGTCACAAGCGGATGTCTTTCCGTCCGTTGTAATCCTCGCACCGTGGATCGCACAAGCACGTTGTAGAACCAGATATCCAACGCCTTCACTTTAAACACCACAGACCAACGCAGTCCACTGCCGGCCCATTGCCAACACAACCACGGGACCCGAGTCCAAGTA